ATACTATTTGTTGAAAAGTTACTTAATTTTAATGTCTAAAATTTATTTCTTCTTTCTTCCAACCTGCCGTTCCTGAGTTACGAAAAATTTTTCCTTTCTTTTCATATTCATTGCTAATAGAAAATGTCCATTCGTAAAATAATTTTACCATTTTCCTCCACTTTAATTTCTTCAGGAATAACGAAAAGAAGTAATGTCTAATGCGGGCAGATGTTACTTACTCTTTGTTACTTATCTCTTCCTCATCCTTCATTTACTATCCATACGCGCTCACATCCCACTTTTTACAGGTTATTCTCTTCATTCGGTACAGCAAACTTGAATTACTACCCTCAAGTGCAAAATTCTTCTCTGCTGGAATATAACCAGTAACAATGGGTAAAAAAATCATTTTAATGATCTGACATTGAAAAGCCTCAGTAAACAAATAATTTAGAGAAGATGAGCAAAAGAACATGAGATTCATTATGCTTTATGAGAGATCGTTTTGCTTCAAGATTTCATGATATGTAGTGTAGTATGATCCAAGAACGACCTAGGTATGTATCACTTGTGAGGAAAGATGCTTACTGAGGAGGCTATAAACAAACCGTTTCAATTTACCGATTTTATGATTGAACCTCTTTTGTTTATTGCGATAAGATTTACAGAATATCCTGGACATATTGGTGGCCGATGTGTAGACAGTTTTGATTGCGATCCTAATGGTCCACGAGTTTGTGTGACACTTACAGCAGTGAGAGATTGTTTTGTTGACTGTCCAAATGCCGCTGATGAAGGTCATCCTTAAATAATTGATCATGTTGATACTCCATATCACAAATTGATTATTATTAGTTGTCCTTTTTATAGAATGTCCAGTGAACAAAGTGTTATGTGATTCAAAAATAAGAGATGGATGTGGGAAATGTGTCAAAGTGGAGGAGCGTGATATGCTTTGCAGCGATCGCCGATGTTTATTTTTTATTGCTAGTTTCTATCACCTTTATTTTCGGCTTTTTATTTTTTTAATGTATTATTCTTTAGTTTCCTTTGTAAAATTTTCCTTTTATCAGGGCGAAGTATATGCTCGGAGCTTGAGCATTTCAAATGTTTGTCTACGGACAATTGTGTTTTACCTCACTGGATTGGAGATGGTATTGATGATTGCGCTGATGGCTCAGATGAAGGTAATAAATATTACACTAGGTCGAAGTAATTTTCTCATGCAATAAAAATTCCACTTTGAAAACTGATGTTACCAGATTTTATATGTTACCAGATATTTTATAGATTTTATTTATAGTTCATTTTATATTCATGCAACAGAAGATCACATAGAACTTACACTGAAGTTTCTCATATGTATTTTGTTACTTTCCATCATTATGTAAAATTGTCCGTTTACTATCAGAAATAATTTCAGATTTTAATATAGTAACAAGATAGTAATGTAAAACATATAATGTGAGACATATAATTTTTAATACTACTCTTTATTTTAGATCTTTGTGCTCTTGAATTGCCAGATTGCAATCAGACCAGGATAAGTTCAACTGCATCATCTCCGTTTGATGTGGGTGCTCCTACTGAAAGTAATAACTTACTATTTTAGATCTTCGTTCTACTTTGAAATCACACTCCTATACGTGTTGCATGTAATTTTGTAGACAAACGTCTGTTCCTATTTCTATCTCCATATTCCTTTATAACAATCAATTTTTCCATAACTAATTCAGAGCATGTAGAGGGATGTCTCGAAGGCGAGTTTCAATGTATCACCTCATATGAATGCATATCCATTGTCAATGTCTTAGATGGTATTGAACAATGTAATGATGGAAGTGATGAAAGTATGGTTTCTGATTTGAAAGAAAGCAATAAAGATAAAAATTTAAAACAATAAAGCTCAAAGCAAGTTTTTTTACAGTATATAAAACGAAAGCTTCATTTTTTTTTGTAGAGATAGCTTGAAAATTTTCAATATTTTTCTCCTGTTTTGATCCTGGTTCAACTAAATCAAGAGCAAAATTGAGGTATTTAGAGCGCTAAAACAATCTTATCCCTTGGATTGCATTTCAATTTTTTGTTTACTTTTTGTCTAATTTTCTTGACTTTTCTCCTCTTTTTGATATTAGTAATCTTATTCATTAATTCACTCATGTGTAATCTAAATATTATTAATTGTATAGGATATTGTAAAGAAATGGCTGGAAGTAACATGTGTCAAAAACCGAAACAATGCAGCTTCAATCCAGCTGCTGACATGTTCACATGCGATTGTCCACTGGGTTATTCGCGTACTTCTTTCGGTCTTTGTATCCCTTTTTTAGGTTAGTTCAAATTTAAAATATGTCTCTTCGTTATATTCCTTTGACATTAGATAAATTTCCTGAAAAGGATTTTTTTAAATCACTCCATATTCGATTACTAATATTTAACCAGGAAAGTGACAGCAATTGAATAGTAGTAAACATGGTGGGGTTCATAGAGAAGAATTGAACTCGAATAACTTAGTTTTAATAATAATCACAAAAGCATTATATCTTGACGATTGTAAGGCATGTGAAAATAGGAAAATGAAACTTCACATGTTTCAGCCCCAGCCTTCAGTACCGATTGTGCCGATTTGCAAAGACGTTATCATCTTGTGGGATCAGGCCTATTTAAGCTCCATGATTGGAGTTGCTCTAAGCCTGAAATGTGTCCTTTTATTGCCCACTGTGAGATGAATTTGTTTGGCGGTGGATGGACGGTAAGTTTCTTGATGACTTAATCAGGTGGAAAGTATTAGATGTACTTAATTTCTATTTTTTTTTCAATAGAAATGAAATTTTGTAGTGTCTGTAATGCTTACATATAGCACAGCTTCTGAGGTATAAGATAAAGCTTATCGTCTCAAATTTTACCACTCAACGATCGACGCATTTCTAGGTGAATAATAAATTGCAATGGATATGACAAGGATGATAATCAGTTTCCGGGTAGACCAATTAAAGATAAAGTTTAGGAACTTATTTCCAGATAATCATGCAACGCTTCAATACATCGCTTAGTTTTGACAAGGATATACTGGAATATGAAAATGGTTTTGATTTAGACAATTCAAATTTCTGGATTGGTTAGTTTTCACCAACTTATGCTTTAATAAAATTTTATTGGGAATTTAGTGCTTTATTCAACTATGTAGAACTAAATGTGTCTGTTTTCGAACTACAGTATTATTTGTTAAAAGGGAATTTCTGAGACGCATGCTTACACCAGCAAAACTCAACTTTAGGTGCTAATAAATATAGCACCAATTCCATAGAAAATTATCAGCGACAAATTAAACAGTATTGTTCCTTTGAATTATGACTTAATTTAAGAGCGAATATTAGGACAACTAAATATTTAATATTTAACATTTTCGTATATGACATGCTTCGTGATATTCTCAATTTCAGGACTAAAACGCATGCATCACTTAACTAATCGTCCTCAATCTCCGAATGAATTACTTTTAAGATTACGTACAGCGATCAACGGGCAGATAATTTTGGTTCGGTATTCGCATTTTATCGTTTATGGAAAACTTCTAGATTATCGACTAAATATTGGAAGTATCATTTATGGGAATGGCATGAATAGTGTGTTTTCTTTTTCTTGTCACAAATCAATAAACTGGACCATACTTTGCATGTTGCTAAATTTTTGTTTGGATTCATTATTTTTGAAGACATTTTCCGGATATCTGGCAAACATACAGGAGAAATTTTTTTGTTTCAGCAGCAAACGAATTAGCCCAAGATCAACTGTGTCCATTTGTGGCCAGTTCAGAGAGAGGATGTGTCGGTGGAGGAGGATGGTGGAGAAAAGAATGCCAACAAAAAGGTGTTTTGACAGCTACGAATAGAGCTGATGGTACATATCCTGGACTTAACTGGAATGGAAAGCGTCTTTCAGCGGTGCAAATGCTCATTCGACCACGGGGATATATGCCTCCTCCGAAGAAACGAATTTAATACTGCCATTTCACTTAATTTTTCCAAGTTCTTTGAAATTCAATGAATTATTGCCTGAGTTGCTACTCTATTTGCTTATTACTTCCATTCAGACGCAATGCTTCTTTTTTGACAAGCATTGCATATGTGCTTGTTGTATATCTTGATGTAGGATCGCATCTAATAAAATGGTAGACATTGATGTTTATTTCTGATGTCCATTAGTGGGTATTATTTCAATATAATAAAATGAAAAGTCCATACTGAAGGCATTCCTAAAATCCAAACATTATCATCCAACTATGCGCATTTTTGTGTACATGTTATTCTGTGGAATAGTAGTGTTCACAGATGCTGAAGTCATGGTAACACAACGTGGTTGGTTTCAGAAAGGATGGTTTCATGTAAGATCGGTTCTTCCATAATTTCAGCTTGTGATAAACTGATTGGCGGTGAGGTAAGGATAATTGTGGAAACGGTGTCCTGACTTTGAAGTTGAAAGGAAGTGAAGAAGTAAGTGCAAAATGGGGTCAACTGTGAACTAAAGGCTTTAGGATTAATAGGAAGTTATGAATACACCTACAAGGTCAACTTCGTTTAACTTTCTTTACCACTTAATTGTCAATGTGGTTTGTAATATTCGTGCTTGTTTCTCTAATTCTTTATCATTTTGCTCGTGATTGATTTATTTACTTCTACAGGTTATATTAAGTTTCCAGATGCGTAATTGATGTAAGTCTCGAGTTATAACTTAATGGGAACAGTGAGCCTCGTAAGAGCGACATGGCTTTTCTCTTTTGTTATAACTGTCACTTATACGATATGTAGCTTATCTGTATTGTTTATTTTCGTTTTCTCATTACAGTGAATTATATTGATGATGTTTGATGGGCCACCGGAAGGCGCTGAAGTAACCTGGAACAACCAAAGGCTACCGTATCAAATCCTGGTGATTTGTTAATATTTTTATTCATTTGCTCATTTTTCAACTCTTCTGCTCCTTCTCACGAATTTCTGCTAAACAGTATCAGTCGCTTCCCATGACATTTCTCACATGAACGAGTTTGCTGTGTGCGTTATGCGTTATCCTTAGTTTTTTCAAGATTGACTAGTAGAAATCCCTCACATGCAGTCTTTTGCAAATCTAATTTGGGTTTGTCAAGACCTATTTCATGTGCTTTTTGCTTTCTACAGTATGTTCTTGATGTCCGCATAGTTTTTAAGTTTTATTCCTATCAGCAAATTACATGCATTATTTTTTTGAAATCATTAGGTTGAAAAAAACTTTCTGTGTATTCCTTATCTTAGACCGAACTAAAACAATTTCAGGATGACGACAGTAGGGAAATAAGTCCAGTTGTCGGACATACGATGATTAAATACAAAAAATCATTGATTGTTTGGGGTGGTTACCATCACGCAGAGGACAATGATTTCCGTTATCGCTCTTCCACATTTCTATACATATTGCCTGCTGGTTTACTAACCGGTTGTAACGATGTGAAGTGGTTCGTTTGTATGTTTGCTGTTATAATTTCATAGTTGAAGTTTTTACTTCGCTTTTTCAGTCAAAAGAGATGGATAACCCATTATTTCAGGATACTTTATCATGTTCCACATGGCGATGTACCTCCGTCAACTAGTGGTGCTTGTGCTATATTATGTGGCTGTTATATTTTTATTTTTGGTGGCTACGTCCGACGCTGTAAGTATCGGTTTCTGTCATTTTGGATAATGGGCTCATCAAGTTCAGTAGATGAAATTTATGTAATACTACAACAAACAAATAAAAGCTTACAATGAACTACTGCTTTAAAACTGTTATTATTTAAGATGCAATTAATATACTTTTTTTCTTAGAAAATCTGGATTTCGGAAGGATTAGATCATTTTTCATGATACACTTACGATAATTACTAAAATCTTAACTGGCATCTTGTCTTTGCAAATTATGAATACATGAAGAATTTGCATAGATAATTTTCGGAGATTTTTGTTTTAAATTGCTTTTGTTCATTCAATTAAATTTTTATGAGAATTCTTCATGTAATTTATAAATATCCATTTGTCGATTCATTGATAGAATATCCCAAACATGCGTAACATGCGAAGTCGAAAAGTTTTATAACAAAAAATAAAATAGAAATCAATAAAAAAAGTGATTCGTTTTGGTTTTGCATCTAATGCTCTCAGCTTCCTTCAGTAGACAGTCTCTGCAAAATGAAACTGAGTGAATTTAGATATTCAGTCAGTTATTGAATTTATATATGATGAATCCAACTAGTAATAGTAGATACGTAAATGGTTGATTCATTCTTTCTGTTAAGACGGTATTTCTCTTTTTCAGTTCACACTGAAACAATATGTGATGTAATTTGTTGACGTCTTTATTCATGTTAATTTTGCCACGGAGCAGTCAGTAGATTAAGTGCCCATAAAACATTGTTTGCAGTACTTTTTTTACTCATACTTGGAATAAACCAACCTTCTAAAAAGCATCAAATTACAGTATTTACCGCTACATAGAAATACCATATGACTATAAGGAAATTTTGCAGCAACACCTAATAATATCTTAGAAGGCCATTCATCGGCGATGTACGTTTTGGATTTGGTACAGGAACGATGGTCATTGATTGTTACTGACGATGATAGCCTTATACCAACACCTCGAGATAAAATGGCTGGATGGTGTTATAAGAAAAAGTTAGAATGTTAGCCTTATTGATAGCCTTAATGATAGTCTTATTAAAAATTAGAATTCTCTATCACTTCAATAGTTTACTAAGTTTTTTAGGATTGGCCTTAGCGCGATGTAATTTTTTTTAGTAAAATGAAAGCATTTTTGCAGCCGAATTTAATAAATTAAACAATATGATAAAATAGTATTCGTAATTATTAAGGTGTAATTTAAATTTTTTTCAAAAAGCAGTGGTTGTTAATTAAGAAAAGGTTTCTGTTTCTTCGGATTTTATTGCAAACGAATGCCTCTGGTATAACAAATCGTAAAAGATCGTCATCATATCCGGACGATGCCAGAGGTATCAAAGAATGCAATTAAAAGTTTGTTTTTTTTAAAGATGTTATTACTTTGGTGGGTACGGACCGCGCCCTTTCGATATGCCAAATCCAGCGCTGTATTTGAGAGATGTGGGAGAGTTCGTTGCTGATGAAACCAGTCCCTTCTACTGGAATAACCAATTACTAATTTTTGATCCTGTCCCAAGAAAACAGTTGAAGTGGACTCTTGCAAAGTAAGTGGATCCTTTATAGATAGGAGATATTCATAAACTATGGAAATAGAATCCTTTTTTTATTTTTATTTCGAAATTTGGATTAGAATTTTGGTGGAATTGTGTATGGCCTCTTGTTGATTATCAAAAACATGTTCGTCGGAACTAATTCTTCTTTGGCTTTCCATCTTCAAGCATTTTTAGAGTTGGAGGAACAGTGCCTTCAGCCCGTGCAGCATCTGCAAGCACGTTTCTCGAAAGATTTGATAGTATCCTGCTTTTCGGTGGCCGAAACAAAAATCAGCGACTGAATGATTTATATCTGCTTGATCTGTCATCCCTCATCTGGACACAAGTGTAGGACTTCAAACTTTCCTGAACAATTTCATATGAAATCTTTATATTGTTTTCCAACTTACACATCCTTAGATCTCAGAGTAAAAGTTTCAGTAATGTGACTGGAATGAACGAACCAGAAGGTAGAACATGGTGTTCACTCAATACACTATTTCCAAATCAGGCTTTGGTTTACGGTGGGTATTCGAATGAGGCTCGAGCGCTGTCTGATTTCTGGAGGATAGAAGTGAACAGAGATCGTGATGGGTGTTATGTAGGGACATGGACTGAAGTGGATACTGGGTATGAAGCAAAGTCTCGCAGATTATGGCACACGGGAGCTGTTGTTGAAGGACAATTATTCGGTGAGATTTCTTGCTTTGGTAATTCCGCACTAAGATTACCAAAGCATATTATCGGAAGCTCCTAACAACCTAAAGAGCTGTGAGACTTGATGAACATTAAGATTAGAGATCCAAATCATATACGTTTAACAATGAGTAGCTTTAAAAAGCATTCTTAGATATCTGGTATTGTCGACCTTCTTTTGATGCTTAGTTCCATATTTTCATTGCGTTCTGCTCAGTACTGTAATGTCAGAAAGATATTTAATTTGAACAATGGTTTCGACAGTCAGAATGTTGTAAGAAGTAATTGCCACATGTTGTTTTCCATTTTAGTGTGTGGTGGAACAGATGCGCTGGACGAACACGTCAAAATTAGAGGTGTTCTGAAAAAACGGATGGAACCACTTCCGCTACTGACGATTTGCTTAGGTGTTTTGTATCCATTAGTCGAAGAAGTCAGTATGTTACCGACTCCTCTACAGTTGCATTTTGCATGGGCTCGTTACATTCTATCTCGAGGTTATCAAGCGCTTCACGTGGATACGGAACACTTCAAGAAATATAACTTGTTGAAGATACTGAAGACCTGCTAATAGGAGCCCCTTACCTATTTTTCCTATAAAATATAAGTCTCTTTCAATATTTTATCATGCTTTGTTCGAAAAGAACAAAATGTGCAGAAAAGACATAAACGGGTAGTTTTTTTCTTTTTGAACTTTTGGTTATAAAACATTAATGTACTTCTGCAATATCTTACACTCTATGCATTTCTGACTGTTCGCAATCGATTACAATAAGTTGATTAGATTGATTGGACTGATCTTTTTGTACCTAATCTTTCCCGAGTTGTTGGAGTTATTTGGAAGGTTATGAAACTAATCCTTCAAATCTGATTGTTAATTGTATTACGGGCGGAAGTAAAATAAAGTGATCAGAGGAATTGGCCACAGTCCAAGCTCATTTTATCGTAATTGCATAACAACAGAATTGTATTAGAAATATGTTATGATGAGGATTATCTTCCTTTTCAAAGTCTTAAAAGACAATATGACGATTTCACTGGAGATAACTATCTTCAACAGATATTAATTTTATCCGGATTAAGCTCTCATTAATGACAGCGTCTAGAAAAAGAAGATTGCAGCATAGCGAATCCTAACTAATCTCATATTTTTGCCTTCAAAGATAAAAATTCCAGCATGCTACACTATTCCATGGTGACTATGTATCGAAGAGCCTTGCACATGGAAAGGCGGCATAGTTACCATCTTGTTTTATGCGCTTATTAAATGCCTTAAGTATAACTATCTAGGTGGTATTAGCACCTAGTAAAGATCGATATGTCTGAAGAATGAAGAGACAAGAAAGCATTACAAAATTAAAAACCAAAATAATTGGCAAATATGAAAAGCTAAATCAAAATAAAAGCATGAACTACAAACATACAAATTCATATCAGTGAGATCAGGGAATCAACATGGTAGGCTGTAAGTTGACTGTATGGTATAAGTGGCTGTGAATACGATTATAACGTCTTTATTCTTCGTTGATGCCGCCTAGGCTGTCGAAGTGCCAGATGATTTCTTGTGGAGTAAATTAGTGGATCCATCCAGAGAATTCATCATAAATGTCGAAGTTCTTACCAAACGAAGAACTTGACAATGGATGATGGAGATAAAAAATAAGGGGCTTACGTTCGCTTCATTAGCTTATCCCAGAAATAAGCCAATGAAGCGAACATCAAGCCTTAAAAGGAACTAATTCCATGTAATTTAACAACTTCATATATGAACGTTTTTAATCCTAATGAACCTGAATTTTACATTTCTCGAACATAAGAAAGACGAGAAATGCTTGCTGCTCAAATTTTAGACATGCAAAGGTTTTGAGCGTGGGCTTTTTGCATGTAATTGGGGAAAAATTTTTTCGAAGTGATTGTCCGGGAAAAAACTTGCAAGAAGCCTTTCAAAAATAACATAGAGAAGACGTCGATTGAGTCGACTATTTTGAAATACTTCGGAAACGTTTGCGATTCCTCTGTTTGTGGTTTCAGCGCCTATAAACAGCCGTAATTCGTCTGGTAAAGCGCTCAACATTTGGGCTCTTGCCAATACACATGCTCTAAGCCGTTCACCTTCTGGACGACATTCACTACTCTGAGCCAGTTTTCCATCAGGCCATAATGTATTTCTACAAATTCGAATATGTAATAGATAAAATTACAAAAATCCTAAACAAAAAATACTCATGCAGTATTGGAAATAATATTTCGTGGAACACTACATTTCTTTACGACAACAACATTGATTTTAATTAAAAGCCAAAATAGCCAATAATCTTGGGAAATAAAATGCATAGTAGGAACATTTGTACCTAAATGCAATGAGATATTGAGCAACTTGCTGCTTTGACGTTAACCAATGGACGATATCAATAATTTTGCGATTCAGCGAAGAACCCATTGTTGCATGAACAAATTGGTTTAACAGAGCTACCAATCTTTTTCTGAACCAAGCATTTTGAGAACGTACATCAAATACTTCACCAATCAAAAGTACGAGGACTCGTAAGGGTATACTTTCCATCCATTGCTAAAATGCTTCTTTACTAAAATAATTGGTATCATTAATCCAAAATACTGTATTTTGTAAGCATTATTTAAACATTTCAGTAACAGATTATTTCGTAGTAAGAAGGTACGAGAATTCGTAAGGACATACTTTGTAGAGATATTAAAGGTAACCTAAACAATATGCATCAGCACATTAGAGTTAAAAAAGTGTTATTTGTACAATAATTACCTGATCATTGTAAATGGCCGCCACACGACTCAAATCATTCTTTTTATTTGACAAACCGTTTAAACTCTACAAAAAATCATTTATAACGGAATATCATACTTCCCCAGAAGTTACAAAAAAAATCTCGGAAATTTAAAATCGATTAAATTCTTGTGATAAATGAAATTATTTTAAACTTTATAAAGAGGCTTTTGTTTATGCAGACTAAAAACGAATGGAAGACGTAACCAAGATGTCATCTTATAATTAAACATTAACAGATACCTGTGCTGGTTGAAAATCGATGATCTGTTTTGCAGCCTTATTAATACCATCACCTACACGAGTTACTCCATCATAAACTGTATCAGGCATAGCTGTTACAGCATTTCCAAAAGCTCGTACACCACTTTTTAATGGTTCAAATACAGCACTCATAACCTGTTAAAATATTGTTTATATGTGTTATAAACAAAATTTCTCAGTTTATTCAAATTTGAATAAAAGTACCTTTTTCGGAAAACCTTCTCTCTCGCCGATATAGTCCTTCATACTGAGGAAATCAAATATGAGTGTTTCTAAATCCGGATTAGCTTCCAGAACTGATGGCTGCAGGATACTCTGAATTCGTACTTTCAGGAAGATGAGGTCAACAGAAAGTAGGAAAAGCGAATATAAAAGATTCTTTTCCAGAATTAACCAATCACAAACTATCACAAAGATCTTGATTTCACTTTTTAATTGAATATGAATTTTGGAAATGAAACGGAATGAGAAAACGAACCATCATGTAACTGTTGAGTGCTCTAGTTCTTTTCTCAAGAAAACGTGAGTCGAGATTATTAAATGTCTTCTTTCCTGGGAAACATAAATTGCTGAGCTTTGGAAACTAAAAATATCAAATGAAGTACTGTAGGGAAAAATGTCACATGTGATGAACACTATACGCTTTTATGCAACCGAATTTCTAAATCTTAATAACGGGATGAACTTAAGCAAAATATGCAGATAGGAGTTAGTATACTATTTTACGTATGTTGATTTATCATAACACATTTTATAAGGAAACAGAAATCTTCCCTCCATTATTCTAAGCTAATTGACAACCATTGAACAAGAATCGTATGACAGAGCTAAGATGTTAGCATGAAGTTGAGCCATACTTAAGATGCCAAGAAACAAAATGTTCGACGTACACGAGATTGTATGAGCGAATTGAGCGTGTGGAAATCAGAATATCGCCGAAGAACGTTCCAAGTGCTACTCTGTTTTCCAGTTGTATCAATTCGTGAAACACGTACATTGTAAAGAGCAAAAGACTGCTTCCCTTGCTGGCCAATACCAAGTGTTTCAACGACAACATGCATCCCTACGTGCCTATGCTTTGGTCCATCGATGTTATTCAGAATCTAAATTTTGGGACGGTTTTCTACTTAAAATTATTTTCCAAACTGTCAAGTTCTAATTTTTTTCTTGTAATTAATAAATTATTACAACATCGATAAGACCTGTTGATCTTGACTCAGTTCATTACATAAATTAACATATAGCTTTGATAAACAATAAAGTTTTGCAAATACCAACCTTCTTACAAATATAATTTGTGAAAAAAGAAAACCTTAGCTTCAGACGCTGTGGGTATAACAATTAACTTAATGCTACTTTCATCGTTATATTGTGAATCTGCTGTTAGACAACTGATATCCTCACTTAGTCCAAGTTCATTTAGCATTTTTATATATACTGAACTTTTTTTGAAAGAGTCGTAAAAGCGCTCGTCCTGTAATATTGTAAAAAAACATATCAACATCATTTAAACCGATACCAGTAATCTCGAAGTAAGCCCACGAAATGTTATAACTAAAAAATAAACTTCGAAAAAAAAAATAAACCGTTCGCAAAATATCTACAATCTTTGCTTGCACTTGTTCAAACCACATGTCAGGAGGATCATCGTTTCGAATTCGCATTAATAATTTTTTCACTGTAATATCGTCCAGTGAAACCCGTGTCACTGCCTGAATAAAAGAAGTTTACCGTAGTAATTTAACTTTTACCCAGAATACTCATAAAATGTTCCCAGATATGATCTTATCCTAAACACTAATTATTATAACGTAATTAAAATCCTAGTACTAAGAGCAAGTACAATGACAGTTCAATAAAATATTGATTCTGGCACTTAACCAAATCAAAGTTATTCTAGTAGAAAGAAACTGCTAACTTCCTGCGATAAATATTGATGATAAAGAAAACTAGCAGCTTCCTTGACTGTTTCATAAACGTCACTTTCAAGAGTTTGACCCACAGCAAGTTCTCGTAATTGATGATCCACGGATATTTTAAAACCCTGAAAAAATGCAAAATTTAAGACAATTTCAGCTTCACTTTCTTGCCCAACATTGCAATCCAAAAAACTATTTTTTTAAAAGAAGAGATTTAAATGGCTGCAGATTCAATATTCCTTATATTTAATCTTGTACAAATAATTTACCTCAGTAGCCAAATAACAATCAATTAAAGCTTGTCCGCCAACAGATGCAAGAAAATCAGCGAAATACGTAATTGCTGTGTTATTCGACAATACAACGTGAATTGGTAATTGTATAAGAGATGAATTACCTACTGGCAACTTTTTCGCTGCCTATAATTCAGTTCGATCATTTTTTACATCATTAATACCTGTAAATACCAAACTAAACCTTAAAATTGAAAAAGAAGATAAGCTCATATCTGTTACACTTTACTTCAGAAGTGAAGTTCAATAAGTCAGTTAAAATAAAATCTTTGACAGTAAAAATATTATTTAGTGCGAAGAAAAGAAAAAACCTCCTCTTCTAAACCGTTTTCAACTTCAGCGGCTGCTAAAGAATCCATTCGTCGCTTTATAGTATTTATTGCATAATCAATACTGGCTAGCTGTTGCTTCACCAAAAAACCTGAAGGAACTCTTTCGTCGAATAAAATAAATTTTTACAAAACTGTATACACTGTATGTATAAGAGACTTATAACTATTAAACAAACGTTCAGAAAAAATACACATAAAATTCATAGCCTTCAGCAGCTTCTCTTTTCCTGACTACATTATTTTTAATCGATATCTGCAAATTAGGTGATGAAAAGCTGAGACCTTGTTCACCACCGGAATCTTTTGTTCGCAAATGCATTGCTTCCTCACAAAGTGAATCCAATACTGCATCCAGTACTTTCACACTGTCAATAGTTTCAAGTGTTGCGATAAAATCTTCTGGTTTCAAATTCGTTTCACTCAGCTGTAAACGAATGAGTGATCTCTTTTAGATCATTTGATGCAAAAAAGAAAAAAAATTAAGAAAAATAAAAGAGCTTACCAACCAAATTATGCTACGATTAATAAAATCAGGATCACTAAGCATATCGAAAAGGGGTAGCATCATACGTTTAACATATATTTCTCGAAGAATAAAACGAAACGGTCGAGAACGGAAATCTTCAGCTGGTGTCAAAAGGTACAACAGAATATCGGCAACATCATGAAAATACGCTGCAAAGTAGTTTATTCCACAAAAGAAAAAAAGAACAACATTTCCCCCAATTGGTAACTGAAAAATGAATAAACACACACCATTTTCATAATGCGAACAGGTGGAAACAAGATCCCTGCAATAACATTTCTCCATTTCTAACTCTAAGTCAAAAAACATTGTTTCCAACTCATCCGTTGTGTAATTTTTACCGTAATGAAGCTGTGCACGTTCCTGAAATAAAACATGGAAAGTTTCAGGAGTGGATGGTGCCCGAAACAAATATATTTATAGTGATTGTGGTCTACAGAGATTTATCATCTTTTTAAATTTACGAGTTTGTTTTATTTTTTGATCAGGAAGATTTAGAAGAGAGGCAGAAATAGTATTAAAGTAGGCATTATAATAATGAGCAGCAGGGCTCCTGAAATCTTTAGGAGTCAAGTAAATTTAGTTTAACCTAATTAATTTATAATTCTCGTTTAAATTACCATTTCATTCGTGTTCAGAAAACGAATATTCTCAGCATATCAGGACATGGCTGTGAAATGATAAGCCATTTAATTTTAGCATTCCATTCAGAACCAATGAAGCTCACCTTAGCTCTCCGAAACAAGCGGAAATGCGAAGCAATATCATCGACAATATGCTGAGTTAAGAGAGGCACAAAATCCACCTTCTGAACACTAAAATAACAAAGGAAAGAGTTATAAAATCACATTAGACTTAAAAATATCTTCTTGTTTTCTCTCTAATAAACTCAGTAAAGCTGAAGAATGTAAAATTAGTTTATGACATTATTGTAACCGTTCATACGTAATGAAATGCCAATTCATTTCAGTTACAATACATATGGATAATTAGAAAAAAGAAAAAAACACACCACTGAGAAAAAGCAGCAACAGTTCGCCTAGCACTTCGTTTTAAGCTTTCTTTAAAATGATGATCCGGTGTTAAATTGCTATACCATGAGTCAACGAAATCTCGTATTACGTAAGATAGCATCTTGCAAAAAAATTAAAAATCAATTCTTCAATAAATTTTATTTTTTAATATATCGAAAAATTTTTAGCATTACATATAGCTTGCAAAATGTGTTAAAATCAATTATGCAGGAATTTCCACTATTTTCCCACCTGTTCAAGTATAGCATCGATGGTGGCTGAATTCGTCATAGGCTGTTCCTGTTCATAGTAAGCGTTCTCGGAGAAACGCCCGCGATTTGCCAGATATTTTTGACGTCCAGCTAAGAAACGGAATTTCCTGGTGATCTCATTCAATTCACATAAATCCTTATCCGATATTTCGTGACCACAATTAAGAGCGGTCATAAACAGTCTGAAAGAAATCAAATTTTTGTTATAATTATGTTCAGTACATAAAGGAGTGGAAAGGAAGAAGTTATGGATGATCATTCATATAATTGTGACTGTAGACTTCATATAATTGTAGACTTTTTAAAAGTTGAAGAAGTCAGTACCCGAGGATAAAGCCAAGCAATAGCGACAGGAATATGCACAAGCCGGAAATGCCGAACGATGTGAGGAAGAGTACCGTTACCAGTAATAAGTAGAATACGGAAGACATCGCATTCTGTTTGCTACCTTTACGCATCACACTGTAGCGTACATGAAAGCTGCCCGGTCAGTAGCTGAAACGACTGTTTTACAATTCAAAATAAAATGATTGATAGTGTGACGATGATCCATTTAGATGTAGTAAAGTTTCTTTTTCCTTTCCTTTTATGAAACATTCTCAAATGTAATTTCACCTGTGCATGTCAATATCAACTTATATCTGTTCCAGTCTTACATGTCTTCCTCCAACTTTTTACGTAACTTGTGCGTGTTTTGATATTATATCAAATTCGATTCGACATCGTAAGCTAAGCAAAAATAAAACGAATTCCAGGATGAGATATGGTAAACGTGAAAGCTTCTTCCATTGCGGATGCTTTATAAATTTGAATAGAACGGATTGCTTACTTGGAAGCAACCTGGTGGCAAGACAAGCATCAGTGAAGAACTTTGACCAATTTCAACCAAGGAACCGTGAAATACTTGACAGGTCCAGCGTTTATCCGGTTTTCTGATTTTGTTTTATTAATTTATTTACACAAGCTGACCCGTTTGTCTAGACATCATGTGAAGAGAAGTAAGAGAAAAGAGGGAAGTGTGAGAGACGAATGAGAGGTCATTATTTTTGGGATGTTCAAAAATTGAACTTAACTGTGCTGTTACTGAGACTAGGACATACACTGTGCTTGGAACGCTTATTGACTTCAAAATTTTACCTGAATTTCATGAAATATCTTATTGTCGCATTGTCACAATTAATAACGTCAAACAAGCGGCTTTATTTCACCTTATGGGCCTTAATATTATAATGCCTTTCTTCTTCAAATATTCATATCTTAATAATTACAATTGAACGTGTAAGGTCGAGGTAATGTCAGTAATGGATTAGTGGACAGCTTTATTATATCATAATTTATCGAAAACTATTTAATGTACTTGGAAAGAGATTGATGAGTGTATTATGATATAATAGAGCTGTCCACTTATCCATTAGATAGCTTTCGGTAAATTATGATATAATATAATAAAGTCTTAGAATACATGAACTTTAAATTTATCTATCAGGCATTGACCCCTGTCTGAGATGCTCTTTAATGATCATTCAATTCAGTCCATTGTCATCTTTCTCAGTATTATCCAAACTCTAAAAGCTGAGATGATAAATGTATAAATTTATTCTTTTTTTATCTATCGGTCTACTTGTAACGTTTAATGTGACATCAGTCTTTATCGCTCGCATTATCAAATTAAATCAATCTAAACTTTGCAATCTCACTTGAATTGTTCAATGTCTGTAATAGAAAGAAAGAAAGTTTTGAGATGAAAATTTAAAAGATTATGATAAGTAAGTGTAATCCATTCACTTCGTCCAATTTGTCTTGCATCCAACCACACCATCATGTAAAGCTTTACTTTCGAAGAATATTTCATTCCCTAAAATGTTGCTTAGGCTTAGTGAAGTCAAATTACAAATAGGATTAACTGAAATGTGGAAAGTTAACTGAAACGATGAAGATATCCTTCTTTACTGATTTTCAGCCAATTTAACAACAAACTGAAAGGATAATTTACATCGGTTTTTGATCTTCAACTCCGCATCATTTCAATATTTTGCATGATCTAATGCATAACAATGAAATGTTGAATTGATAAACGATATTCGGCAATTAGAAGTATGGAATGAGCTAATTATTCCATTCGTCTTTTAGATTTTGTTAGATGAAATCTTTTAATATCGCTTCCATTAGTCAATTGAATAGATTAAGGATACATTTGCCAATTTAATTCCAGGTGCAGATTTCCTTCTAGAAAAGTTTTCGTCGTCAACAAGAGTTATGAAGCAATTTCATTTAAAATTGCCAACAACTTTTGGTTATAATAAAAAACCCATAAGTAAATTAGAATTTGATTTCTTAAAATAATTGTAGTGAGAAGTCCTTCATAAATTGTTTTATTCCATAAGATCATTCATGTTACTTATTGCTTATATTGTCTTTAGCAGGATTATGCGGAAAATATACCCAAATACACTGAAACAGGATTCAGAAGACAGCACGTCATATTCCCTAAGATTTCAAGTTTAAAAATTGCTTAGATTATTTTTTATTTTCATTTGTTATTACTTAAAGCATATATTGTATAAACTTATTGATTAGATCTTTTGTGATTTAAAATCACTTCATGATAAAATTACGGAAAATTCTATATGCGAGTTTCTTTGCCAAAAGGAAATAATAGTTGTTGCAACATTACACTGCATAATTTCCTATTAAGAAAATGTATATGCGACTTCTAAATTCGAATGTTAGCAAAAATCACAGTTCAAGGAAATTGTGGGAGATAATAGGGACGGGGGAAAACTATCGTCATCTTATCAGTCGTGCAATACAGTATTCTTTCCTTATAGTTTTTTTTCTGAATCATTCTCGATTATCATTTTTTGCAGATAAATGATTTAATATAGTAGTAGTAGCTGGTAACTAAGTACGTGTCACATTAGTCTTTTGCTTCCTGCGCATGCTTCAAGTTTTTGAAAATTTTATAGGTAATTGTTTTTTTATGGAATAAAAATCAAATGGAAGAAGTGATACAAAAACAATTGGGATTAAAAACTCTCGAACGATTCGGTGGTGCAGCTGGCGGATGTATCAGTAAAGGAAGTGGTTATCATTCAGATCTTGGTGATCTGTTCATCAAATTTAGTGATCGTGAAAATGTAAATTTTTTTCAATTTTTCCTTTAAACAGATTCGTATAGATCTAAAAAAATATGAATATTCTAAAAATTTCGAACCTTTGTAAACTTTATCTTGTTTAGAAGATAACAACAATTTGAATTGGATAAATTCCGAGAGTTAAATTAAATCTTACTTTATTTTCTTTGCTTCTTTATTTCTTCATCATTTTTGAGATTTTTGAATTGTTTTTCATTTTCATCCTTTAAAAAAATCTGTGAAAAATAAAGCTTCATTAGCCTTTGATATAATTATTTACTGACAGAGTAAGTTGTCTATGAATTGCGTTCCTTTGCTTTCAACTGTCATAATTCACACGCATCCATAACAATTACATTGTAATAATTATTGAAGGCTAAGCGTATGTTTGATGGAGAATTCGCAAGTTTGGAAACCATATATCGTACAAAAACAATACGTGTACCAAAACCAATTAAGGTATTCAATAATTATTAAAAACAAATGACATTGAAATTTCAAAGTAGATAATTGTCATTCACATAGAATTTAAATAAAGATTTCATAGAATGTTAATTTAGATTATACTTTCAAATTAAGAATATTAATAATAAAATCATGTTAGTTATTTTTAAGAATATATCCGTTAGAAATCAGCATTGTTTGGTTGCGGAATACGTTGACTTACATGGTCCTTCGAAACCTTCACAGTTTGGTCGAAATTTGGCACAGTTGAGTTATCTTTTTATTTTATGTTATACACTTGCTAGTGCGAATTGTATGTTACATAAGACAATAGTAAATTTTCTAAAAATTTTATGGATAGGTTAATCGAAGAAGTAGCCAGGAAAACAATCAGCAGTTGTTATTTGTCACTCAAAATTAATAAATTTCCGGAAGTCATTAAGTTCTCTCTTGTTCTTATTTTTCTCTTTATTATTATACAATTAATTAGCATTATTATATCAGGAATTAACAGGTTACATATGCACAATGCATATTTATTGAAAGAGAAAGAGCGTGCAAGTAATTTTGTTGGAGGTCAGGAAAAAGCCGAAGAATCAATTACACAATTTGGATTTCACATACCCACTTGTTGTGGTTATTTACCCCAAATGAATGAATGGTGCAACGATTGGGTGGTAAAATATTGCTTTAAATCTTTATTTAAATTTCCATTTACCACTGTTGACTATCATTTAATACTTTTATAATACAAAATAGTTTAAGTTATTGAAGCGTAATAACATTTCGCTATACTCTAATCCATGTTTTAGGTAATTTTTTTCAACACTTATCATAATGATAGGTATGATAGTTGTTAGAGGCAATTAATTTTTCAATTGGTTTATGAAATTCGAATATATAAATTGGCGTAAATTTTAGCATAAATTAAATAATTTTAGGAATTTTTCACGCGGAATCGCTTAAAATATCAAATCGATATACTATTGGAGGTAGATTTATAAAAAATTAATCTAAATGATTTCCGGTTATTTTCATTGTTTGATATTATCGCGAACGAAAAAAAAGAGATAAAAATAGTCAGTTTTTTGGAAATTTTATTTGAAACTATAATTCTTACATCATTCCTTGTCATTCCCATTGTAACTTTCTTTGTCATAGAAACATAGCGACAGAGATTTGCTTTCATTATGGCCTCAATTGGAACGAAAAATCCCGACATTTTTTAAAGATGTTGAGAGCATTATTCCAGCTCTTGTTCACGGAGATTTATGGTCTGGAAATTATGGTTATTGTGTGGATGGCCCAGGTGAACAGTGAAAATATTTTTTCTTACTATTTATAAGCATTAAGTATTATCAATATATCTGAATATTAATGATATTAATATCGATATATTAACTTAATTTTGTCAGCGCTAAGAATATTAACAATTTTCATTGTTTCTGCCATTAAAAAAAAACATTAAAATAAATATCTCATAATCTCTATCAAGAAAAAAATTGTTGTAAAAGCTTTAGTAAATAATATGGCTTAGAACTCAATTTTCCTCAACTAATTAATTCAAATAAAATTCTCATTATCCTTAGTAATTAACATACTAATTGAAGAGTTACAAGTACATATTTTATCAGCACATTAGTAAATCATAAATAAAATTCAGTGAGCTACTGCTTATATTTTCAGTGGTTTATGATCCTGCTTCATTTTACGCACACAGTGAATATGAGCTTGGTATAATGAAAATGTTTGGAGGCTTCGGTAGCGCTGTTTATTCCGCTTATCATGCAATCATTCCTGAAGCAAAAGGCATTCAAAAACGTGTTCAATTGTACGAACTATTTCACCATCTAAATCATTGGTCAGTTTCATACATTTTCATCATGCATCTCCTTTTTATTCTTTACTACTGCCAAGTTTCAGTTTATGTGTCATATTTGTCAAGTTACTGAATGCCTTGCTATCCACTAATATTTTCATTTATGTTAAGCAGTATGAATGAAACACCAAGATATCAAAAATTTATATTTATGATTAATTTCTAGAATTACGTTGTATCTAGAATTACATTTGCATTAATAATGAAATTATGAAAAAATGAACTTTAAACATACACTTATAGAGACAGAATTTACTTTATTTCATCGTGGTCAACGGTTTTATTATAATTTTCATTTCGATATTTTCAAGTTTTTCAGGAATCATTTTGGCAATGGATATAAGGGAGGCACAATTTCCATTATGCGTTCTTTATCTTGAAAATTGCAAAAGTGATTATTGTACAGTAAAACAAGTGAAAAATAAAATGATAAAGTGATTATTGTACAATGATAAAAATAAATAAACAAATGAAATGTTTTATCGTGATTAGCATGCTATGAAAAATAGTATGATATGTTAAAATAGTATGAATGTTATGAAAAAAAATAGTATGATATGTAAGAAATGCATAAACAATTTTTACATATCGAAAGCAAATCTTTTACTAATAAATGAATTTTTTCCTTTATTGCACAGAAATTTAGCTTAGTGGATTCTGATAATAACTGAAAATGAATAGAATCCTACGTTATAGATAATTTGGTTTCTTTCTAGCCTTTTTTTATAAATCTGAATTTTGAAATATAAATCTGAAATTTGAAAAATCTAAATTCTGAAACAAAAAATAAAGTCGGTGTTAAAATAGCTCAAACACAAAAGTATTATATATTAACATTAGGCAGCGTTGTAGCACTTATATTTAGGTTTCCAAAAATAAATCTAAAATAAAAATTTGAAATCCTTTGGTTAATAAATAAATTGAGGCTTTTTGAATGTGTCATCATTATTGAATCAGTGATCTCAATAGGTGGTGGCAGTGATGGAGTGTTTCTCAAAGAATGATGAGGGCAAACTTGATGAGCTTATTTTCATTCACCGTTTTGCATTTACTATTGTTTATGTGGACAATCGCATCCATTCGGCTACATTTTCCTCCACTTATGGTAGCCGTTCCATTGATTGGTCAGTTTTAGATCAATTGAAAGTAAAATCCGATTACTGAAAGTCAAAAACTCATCAGATACTAGAAACTAATCAATACCATGGAATCCCTGCACTGATGCCACACAGAATTTCCTAAATCTCTGCACACATATGAGTATAATTTGTTTTCTCGCTTTCTCCATAGGTGAAGTAGAGTGGAAGTTCCTTCTTTTGTTTTTATTTTTTTTAATAATTGCAATTGGGTATAGAAAACTATAACAAATAGCTATGGATGACAATATCTAATAGCTGATATTTCTTGTTTTTCAGGTTTTTTGATATATCATGCGATCGACGAGCACCACAAATTCGGCTTGCACAACGACGAATGCGAATCGATGAAACCTACCCGTCGGGTTTTATCCTTCTTAAATACTATGCTGTTTCCAGGAAGTATGATCAAAGTAGGTCACTCCTATAACATATTTTATTAATTAAAAAATTTGCACAGATAAAATTACAAAAAAAGGAGGCTGAACGTGAAACACTCAATTTTAGCATAATTATATGCTGCAGTAGCTAAAGTTTATTGTTAAAAGTTTAATAGAATCTAAAGAATACAGCCAATGGGTGACATTTTAGACCGTTTTTCCTTTTCAGTCAATGAATTCGAAATGAGAGAAAAGCCGTTCAGTGGTTTATTTGTTGTACCAGAAGATAGTGAATTCTTTCGGACGATTTTCACTACTCTCCATTCACAGATATTTGATGGCGGTGAAATAGTTATTACTGTAAGAATTATATTCAAAGCCAAAGATTTTTTTGGAATGCTACGACGTCGTGAAAGGGCTCCACCAACCCAAATTTACGAGAACGATTCTCGATCAATCGCATTGGCACAAATTCTAAATGCTCAAAGGTTTCTGCTTGACTTCGGAGACTGACGATTTTGGATTTTAAAATGCATTTCAAGATCCAAATGCACGTTTCATTTTTACTTAAATTTCTATGGGACATCATTCATCGTTCTTTTGATGATAGAAAAAGACATTATTATTTCCGATTTTTCTTATCTTGTTTCTTTGTTAGTTTTAAAGAATATGGATGTACTAAGAATATGGATGTACCAAAATTCAATCAAATAGTTGCCTTACTTTCTCTTTGTAATTATGTTTCTTACGTCATCCTCTCGGCTTTTTCAAATTTTAGTAGTTTCTATTAGTGAATTTCTACAAGTTATTGTAAATTGAACAGATTTTGCTGAGCAGACAAATTTAAAATAATAACACAAAAGATAAGATTAAGACAATATACCTATTCTATATGTGAATTCTCCTCAATTCTAGACTTTGCATTTAAAGGTATCTATAACATGGAAGTATAATTAACTGGAATGAAAAGCAAATACACGTTTTTGTAGGGATTTCAAAATTATGGCCAGTGATGGCGAGATCAAGACATCAAAATATCTGCTCTATTTGTCGACAAATTATTTCCATGAGTTGATCACAACAAACCCGTTTGCTTCCTCTGCTGTCTTGGATTTTAATCGAGAAATTATTGAAAAGGTTTATTACATTTTCTTATCAATGTCGAATGACTTCAATATTCATGAGAACAGCTAAAATGTTTGAATAATTACAGGAAATTGAACAGATTTTGTTGAGCAAATTTTAAATAATAACACAAAAGATGAGATTAAGACAATATACCTACTCTATGTGTGAATATTTTCTAGGTTCTCGACTTTGCATTTAAAGGCACCTATAATATGGAAGTACAGTTAATTGACAAAGTTCGGAAATTTTTGCAGTGCGTCCGCAGAATAAAACCTCTAAAACAGACTGAAATTATCAATCATATATCCGTCAAACTCAATGAAACTCTCTTACAAGTCATTTTTTAATATTAAATTTGGACATGATAGAGTGATTTTGAGAAAGGGAGAGAATTTAACGCCCACGCCTCTATTGATCATCTTAAAAATCAAAAGAAATGAATATATACCTCCGACAGAACTGGAAAAGTGTAAGTTTGGACGACGCCGTCAAAATACTAGATATCGCTTACGAACAACAATTCGCCAATCTTCTCGATTCGGCAATGAACCTCATAGTCGATCAGTACTTTATTGATTTTCGGTAAGGGCGCCCTCGATAGACCATAGCAGTCAATTACATTTTAGCATTTCGAACAATTTAACATTATGTATAACCTGTGAGTGTCAGATGAAAACATAGGAATTTTGCATTTTTTGATGTATGCTTGTTTATTTCAGTAAGGAATTAGCAACCTAGTCAGCAAACTGAATGTTTAAATTTGGTAGAAGCGGAAATCTACAAGATTTTGGAACACAAAGCTCCTAATTTTTAAAGACTCAGGTACAATGAACATTCGGAAGGTGAGAACGGAGAGCTATTTCGACGGTTGAACCATTCGGCAGTTGCCGATTTTCTCGCTCCGACGAATGTAATGCTGACAAGTTACCGGAAACGTGGCTCTGTGACGCGAATTTTGAAATATAAAACTAGAGTACCTCCAAAAAGACAGTTTATTGAATGACAGAAAATATGTAAACACTATGATTGTGCGTTTAAACACCGTAAATAACACCGCACCGTAAATACCCATTTCTCATACCCACCATACTATTCTAACAGAAATTCAAATTTAAAAAAAAAATAATAAACAATGGCACAACATCTTGCATAGTATGTAAAATTTAATAAGTTATATCAAATTTTCTGCAAAGTAATACCCAATTTTAACGTAAGTTAGTCATCTGGTTGAATTCACTTACTGCAAAATTAACTTCATACACGTATTGTTACCAGACATCCTCGACATACTGATCATTTTTCCGCAACTCACTGAGGAATGATTGTGCGCCCTCTTTACTTTTGCCTATAATATTTTTTAATTATTTCATGTTAAGACAATAACAGGAAAAAAAGATGTAGACGAAGGTGAAAAAAACTATAAAACAATCACAAAAGCATTAAGAAATAGAAATGACTGAAGCACAAATCAACAAAGTGAGTGAGATGACATTTTACTGTCCTTCATTGTATCAATAAGTTGCAATATGTTAACTTCCGTTTTATAAAGTAATGCAATAAACAACTTACTTAGAAATTCGCTGAAAATATGTAAAAATACATCGGCCACATCTTTTAACATCTGCTTCGAAGAGCCACACACAAAAATGATTGCAGGATGACTTTCATCTCCATTCTTTCGCAACAATATATCCGAAATCTAAAAATCAAAATTTAATGGATTCGTGTTACAGAAATGATTGCAAATAACTAAATGATGTTGACGATTTGCAAAAATATTGAACAACAGGTAAAAACTTCGATAAGCAAAAAAACCAGCCTCCCGACCGCGTTCCTGCAAAGCATCTTGCACGTATTTTTTACCAGCAATGCCACTATACGGCTGCGACTCACACAGAGATAAGTGTGAAAGAACATTCTTGTCTACATATCGCACGATATCCTCACTGTAAAATAAAGTTTAATCAATTGTTTGATTCTGCTGGTAAGGAAAAAAATAAAATGTGCTATGAATAATTTGGCTCCGCTTCTGCGACACAGGTTTGGTTCAGTCAGCCCTATTTCCAAATTTTTGTTGAGACCATATTGAAGTATTGTGTTCAAAGCTTTAGTAACTATCAATTTTAATAAAAAGAAATCAAGTGTATATAACAACGAGGTTTTACAATGAAGGAAGGGAAATTATATGGTCTTCACTTTAATGGCAGTTCTTCCTCTGAGTGGTGTTTTCAAAACATTCACCAAAGTGTACTGAAATGTAAAATGAGACCATCTATGAAATGTAAAATGTGATCATCCATACTATGGCTTTCGTCATCAAACACCAGTTTAGATCATTAGCAAAGTCACAAACAAATGTAACATTATGTTTCTATTTGTAACTTACTAATGAATGCAATCGTCTTTAATATTTCGAATTCCAAAATACAGTTCTCGTCGTACTTTATATTCCTCGGCTCCCAAAAAATCTCTGAAATAAATACTGGAAAGCTGAACAATAGTTTTCAATAAAAAAAAATTATGTTAAAAATTGAAAAAATTTACAACTTCTGCAGGAAAGACAGAAACGGTGCTAATGCAGTTCCTGTGCAAACCATGACAAGGGGCGTACGTGTAATGTCAAAAGAAGAATGCACCGGTGGCGGTAAACGAAAACGAGATGATTCTTTCAGGAACATCTAAAAACAAAATTCTCTAAACTAAAGAAGCAATAATTTTATATCACCTCTATTCAGGGAATATTTAGAAATTGGTAAACGATCCGAAATCGAAAACAGCTTTGCAACTAACCAGAACTTTTTCTCCTTCTTTCAGCATTGCAAGCCATCCCGATGATAAACCAAAACGATTGAAACGTCGGCCATCGGTAGCACTAAAGCGTAATAGCGAAAAAATGAAACGTAGGCGTTTCCCCCAAAGCTCTCTAATACAGCTGACACTATATGGTCGCGGGAGCAAACGTGGAAGCAATTCTTAAAACACACAGATTAGTACGACATTTAGGAGGCATGTAGGAACAATTCGAAAAGTACTTAACTAACCAATCAAACGTTCAGCTGTAGGTCGACATGAAGGAAAGTTAAGCAGAAAATCAACCATCGAGAGACCAGCCTAAAATCATTTCTGCTCAGTCTCTGCCTTAGAAGTGATCAACATCGCTAAAACAATTAAATCAGTTGATGGCAAATACCCTAATATCTACTCGAGCATATTACTATTCATTCTGTTTGATCAATTTATTTCCAAATAATAGCTTTTCTGTACAGTACTGGATTGTGGAGAAGCATGCTGTGAAAACATGGAAAAATTCAGTATCAGATATAACGATTGCAGATAAATCTAAGAAACATTTCAAAATTTACCTGACGAACAAACTTTGTGAATTCTTCAACTCCTTGAGCACTACACAATTCTAGAATGCGCCTTTTTTGACACTCACTTTCCGTGCATTCCGCAAGTACACGAAGAAGAGGCTAAAAACAGAAATAAAGCTGAGAGAAATAAGAAGACTTATTTATTTAGAATACGTAGAATATTTTTTTAAAAAAATAGTGGACTTATATTCCCAGGAAAACAAATTACTCGGCCTGGAGATCGTCTGATATCAAGACACCACGTGAATATATATCGTAGTGTAGAAATTTCTGGTATATATGGTGGTAGAGCTACATTTTTTGCTGTAGTTTGAGATTTCACAGATACAACTAATTTTCGATTTGCTGCTTCCAGAAGTCCCATCCTAAAAAACTGATCAAAATAATGGACATGAAGTCTGAAAAGGAATAAGAAATATATGAAGCAGACCATCTGATAAGCGTCTCTGAAACCGTGTTAAACTAGCACATTGCTACTCTTTAATTACATTTACTAGAGTAGTAGAAAATTTTTCTAGTACTCTAATAAATGTAAATGAAGAGTAGTAAACCATTTAATAATCATTTACTTGAATTCAATCACTGGGTAGACTGCTATGGAATGGATCTGTATTTCAGAAAATGTCAACCCATCTACAAGTTTCAAAAGACTTAGATAACAATAGTAGAATATAACTGCGGAAACAACTGAATGCTTTCGTGATTGAAAGATAAAAACCTTCTTGAAGAAAGAAAAATAACACCCACAAGCATCAACCATATCAAAAATTTCCCACGGTCTTTGTCTTCACTTAAAGATAATCTCGTTTCCAAAAAGCAAATTGGTACTTACTCCAATAAAATATAGTCATAAAATTTATCTTTTCAATTGGACAAATATCTTCTTTGCCATTTCCATTTTTATTCCATCTGAAAGTCCTTCCAAGTTCCTTCGACAAAGCAATCTGAATTACCTTTCTAAAATAAAATCCACTTCTTCCTGAGCATTCGGTACAGTGAAGTAGAAGGCATCGCCTGGTTCGTAAGATATTTCGGCATTATGTTCCAAATCCACCACTATTTCTTGTTTTGGTTTTTGGATTGTTAAACTTGTAAGATTAGAAACGTTGACCACACGACCTCGATAACTTTGATTAAGGACGCCTGTTACACCACATCCATTTTGCCAAGGCAAATCATCAGTATTCTGAAGAATTGGGGTAAAAATTTAAACAGAAAAACCAAAACAAACTATAAGATAATCCAAAAAATCATACAAATTCCTCGGAAGTAATTTCGCAATTCAAATATGAATCTCTTGCAACCGGAACTCGCAACTGCGAATCATTTTGAAGTTTCTGAGTACCTGAAAACAAGTATAACATAGTATATTTATGCAATTCATTTCATCATTATTAATGAAATACAAAAACACTTAATAAACACAAAGCAAACTACTCTATATTACCTCGTATTAGGCATGCAACATCTTCGGGCCATTGCGGTGTATGTATCTTCAATGATTTCAGAATTCCACATAAATCTTCCTACAAAAAAACTTCTTATATTATGCATGAGGAAATAAGAAAGATGTGTAAGTATAATCAGGAAGCTTAGTTGTCTATTAAATTTCTTCTATCCTTACAAAAGACTCGGTTGCTCAACGGGATTTCTGACAAGTTCGTGATACAAATAGAATCAACAAATTGAGCATTCCAAGTTGCCGATTATTACTTTCAAGTGCGCTATGACGAATAAGATATCGTCCCAGTGTATCATTTTCTAAATGAATTCTCATGAAAAAGAAAAGTTCAAAAAACTAACTTCGCAATCTTCTTTTTTTTCGAGACATAACCGCTGAACATCGCATACATCCATCACACCATCTGATTTCGAAACAGGCATTAAACCGTGAAATGCTGAGTCGCGATTTCTCTTCTATTATTGGGTGCTATAATTGGAGGACAGAGTGTGTAGATGATGAAGAGTTGTGGATTGTTTGAAGGGATCAATTAATCTTTCAAGAATGGTTGAGTTGAATGTTAACTTGTTCTGATAATTAGTGCCTGTTGACAACTATCAAAGTCTAACGAGAAATTTGAATTTGCAAATGAAATCGACATTCTATGCAATTTGTTTTAGATGCTGTCGGCTACGACTCGTATCGTATCCGCAAATAAGCGATTTGTTTGTCCCCTTGTCGTGCGACGATCCCTGGCGGAAGTGATCCCGGATCATCCACAATTCGATCCCATCGTGTAGGCATTCCTAAATCATTTCCTAAAAGAAGTCTTGCTAAACGATTCGTTAAGCGCTTGCAGCTTAATTTTATCTAAAAAAAGTTAAAATTTAAACAACAGGCGCAAATCAAATTTTTTTCGTTTAGAAGTTTAAATTTTTTCCTTTTTTTAAGTCTTGGAAATTTTAAATATTGATCACAGTCTTGCACACTTCAGGTTTATGAAACAGTAGAAGTGCTGCCGAATTTTTTATATTTATCGGCGTTTAATATATGAGGTTGATTTATTAGTTAATTGGGAACTCGCTAATGTTCAGATATGTTGGCTTAACTCTAACTTGTCTGCTTGGCGGAGGTTGTCGAAATATTTTGTTCTAAAGTAGTGATTTAATTCTTGATTGCAGCGCTCGAAAAACATTCAAAAAGACGCATGATCATTCGACGATGTTTAAGATTGAGAAGTACTTTTCGGCTGCTATGATACCCCTTCTTCCAGCTGCTTATTTTATCCATGGACCTGTTATGGATACCGTTTTGGCAGGTGCAATCACGTTGCATGCTCATTGGGGTCTTCATGGTGTATTGACTGTAAGTCTTATGATTTTAATTTGCTAGTCACTTTTAAATTGAATTCCTGTTATTGTTGCTAAAGCTTTTTTTGTTTGAATATTGAATAATGCGTTTGAATTTTGAATAATTGAGCGATTGAAATGAAGTAGTTATCTTCTGGTAACGACCGTTTGAACAAGCAAAATAAGTATATCTTAGCGTTGCATGAAAATAAGCAGTGAACTAGTTATTACAGTGATGAAAAAGTTAAAAATTATCAACAAATGGCCACCTAGTATTCGTGTAATAAAATGCAGCAAAATATACTTTGCTTGTTTCATTTCATACGCTGATTAGAAGTTATCCAAATCATGTTTTGATGTTCATATTGTTGTAATGCTGTACATTTAGGATTACGGTCGTGCATTTGTGCTTGGACCAACAGTGGCAAAAATTATTCAGGGACCAGTTTCTTACATACTTAGCATTTGTTTGCTTACTGGTTTGCTGCACTTTAACTCTTACGATGTTGGGATTACAAAAGCATTCGAAATGGTCTGGTCTTTATAATGCGAATATCAGCCATGACGAGTGATTTTATATCTAATTGTAAATTCATTATTTATTAAAGGAAAATTTTCGTAGTCCGTGATTTTTCTACTGTGTTTCATTAGTGAGCTGTTGGAATCGAACATTGTGTAGTTTTAAAAAAGTGGTTTTCTTCCGACATCAATTTATATATCCTACACGTCCTGATACGTTATATCTTACACGTAATAAAGGTATTATTTTAAGTACACGGTTCTCCGCATGTATTTCTTTTTTTGCTGTCTGTGTAAGAAATCAATTTTTTTAAACTGATTCATAATGAAATAATTAAATGCGATTTGTCATGTACAGTCAACTGATATTTTCTCCAAAATTGCCTTTGGAGAAGAATCCGATGAGTAAGATTAAAATTTGAAGTTTTTGCAATAAGCAACTATGTTAGCTTTGTGGGCGTCGTATTCAACATTAGCACTTATCTCATGTTGCTTTCATAAAAACATTGTATGAAGGAGGGGGATTATATGCTCAGATCACAATATCAAAAAAGACTATCATTTTCTTTGATAGGTGTTCCTTCTAGTGTAACATCTGGAGTTGAAGTGTGGATGAGAGGGGCTGTTCAACTTCCTCAGTCATCTGAAGTGCTATAGCACTATTTCAGATGGTGCATTGTAAAGTTTCCATTTTAATTAATTCAAAAATCTAAAAATCTTGCTTCCATAGCTTTACTGTTTTAAATCGTATTTTACAAAGCTACTGCTGAAATCAATTTTGCGCCATGCGGTTGTTGCTTTTTTGTGTCATTTTAATAAATCTTGGTAGGAAAGCGGTGCTATGCTACATTTGTCATGTATATTGGCAGGACGTGGATGTATTTATGCTTAACAGCATAGCTCCAAAAAGTGTCATTTTGGTCCGTAAATTTTCATGCAGTATATATTATAAGAAAGGAATGTTTTTTTTATCATTTATTAAATTAATTAATTAAAGTCAGAGATGTCGGAAATTTATCATTTTCAATGAAAAGAGTGTAAATTCTATTTCTCGAGATATTTTGTTGGAAAAATCAAACATTTAACGAAACAAATTGCTTGAGCTTTATTTCATAAATATATTTTATTGGAAATGAAAAGTTTCTCAAGCTTCCTCTGTTTGAATTTTTTTAGAGAAATATTCTAGAAATATTCTTTTTTTAGAGAAATATTTTTTAGAGAAATATTTGAATATATCAATTTACAGGCATCTAATTGTTCCGTTTGTTTTGGTGCTGTTCATTCCAACAGGTTCATAAGCGGATGTCGTCGTAATAAACTCATGGAGAGTAAAACTCTCCATGAATTTTATGGTTTCTCATTTCATACTGTTAAGGCTTTTCACCATCTCATAATAAGTCTTATCACAGTAATAGAATAGAGTATTTCTGTAACATTGTATATCGTAATTCACATTAGAAGTTTATTATATTAAACAAGGAGGATTACTTTTTGAAGCTATGAGCTTTTAAATGAATGTCAAATCTAATTACTACACTGGAAATTCTTTATTTAGGAGTGATGTGTAGCAGATTTCCGACATATTGTGGCCATAATCTTTGCTGCTGTACTTCTAACTCTTGTTATAATCAACTGCGTAATCATTTCCTTCGAATCACATCTCAGTTAAGAAAAGGTAGTCAAAGAATTTGTTTTTGAATTCAAAGATTTTGAAATTGGAACTTTTTCTCGTGCCACATTCTGATTTGTTTCTTAAGTGCAAATAAAATCTGATTTTAGCTATATCTTGTGACATATATCGCCAACAGTGGATAGGAAATAGTCATTTGAAACGTTTGAATAAATCATCTTATCCGACATCTGAGGAAATGTATCGACGTACCGATTGTACCGCATGTATTTCAAGGGTTGATGAGGAAGGTGTGGAAATGAGCTGTACTGAAGAAAATGTTGATATTGCATGTCGTGGTATGGATCTGCGTGTTGGTGGTTTTGTTTTGTGCAATGGATACGGTGATTGCTGCTGTCAGGTGGATATTTATTGAACTTTTTTTCATATAAACTTGCTACAATGAATAGATTTGAAACGGATGTATCCAAAATGCTGTCGTTTCTTACCATTATTAAAATGTGAGTGTAAAAACAGCAAATGCTCATCGTTTGCATTTCAGGGAGATGGCTGTCCAGAAGCATTGCGGAATTTCTATTCAGGAAGTCAGAAATTGTTAGGAACACCGCAAACAAATAAAAGACTAAACAGTGCTCATTATTTCAATCCCAATGCATTAATTATTATCACTTTCGTATTTATTACTATTCTTTTATTACTATGATTTCATTTTGTTCTGCAGATGTCTTTCATTGTATCATTTAGAAGGTGCAGTTTGCATTTAAAACTTCTCCATATATTTTAGTTAAGATGTGATAATTTATTCAGTTATTGAAACAACTTATTGATAAAATATTATAAATATACACTATTAAGATAAAACGTTTTGTGATTACAAATTGAGAATAATTAATCCTGAATATCAGATGCATTAAATGTTGGTGATGGATTAACTGAATTTTACGATATTTGTTCGGAATATATAAGCATTGTATTATATTTAGCGCATCCTAAAATATCTGAAATGAATTACTTCCTGGAATGCTGATCAGTTGACCAAATATTTGGATACAATAAGTTAAGCAAAGATACAAATGGTTCCTAACAAAAATGATTTGAAGAAAAACTAAAAACTTCTGAATGAAAACAAGAAGCTAATATTTTCTCGTTAACTTTCAATCCACAATTTTCATTAAATAGCATTGGATTTTGATAATAAAGAATAATATTTTAAAAGAAGTAAATAATAGATTAAATTTGTGAATTTGATAAAAAGGAAAATTTCTCGATGATTGTTGTCCTCTGGTTAGCACTGTTGATCTTATGTAGCGGTATGCAAATGAATGCAAGATAGTCTTTTATTTCTACATTAACTAAACGATTGATAAAGTGCTATAAATAAATGCAACTAATATTGGACGTAATATTTTTCCAGCAGCAATACAATGATTACTTCCATTATAATAAACTGGAATGCTTTGAGAAATTGAATCATATCGTCCAGGAGGAATGCCAAATATTTGGCTACTTATGCGAAAATGGATTGAATTACAGAGTTGAGAAAAAATTCACAAAAATTAATATTTGTATTATTTGCAATGTGCTAATATGTTCTCCTCTTTACTATAAATCTTCTTCATGTCAAAACTTCTAAGTAGTCACATGGAACTGATGAGCGAATACGCTTCAATTATAAATGAAAATGATGTTTAATGCTCACTTCTTCAGAAGGTATAATTTACTTCTGATTCTGTTATGATTTCTACTTCTGATAACTTTATCAATCTTCTAACAATTTCTGAGCAGTAGGAAAAATGTGTGGACATGAGATTATCAGGTAAAAAAGGTACGTGAGACCATAACGATAGCAAATATATAAATAATTATGCGTGAAATTTCCCCATTTTAAAATCTCACTGAACTGTTCTAAAAAAAGCATTAAAAAAAATATAAGCATAGGTAAAATTTTATATTTCAAAAAACGTATGGAAATTGAAAGCGGGAATCAAATGATTGCTAATTAAATTTTGGAGAGTATAAGAAAATTATTTTAGAAGTTGAAAATTTTTTGTTTTAAGTTCGAATTAAAATAAACGACCATTTTTACTTATTTCTGATATTGCAAATGAAATCGTAGTTAAGCCAAAAAGCAGTTGTTCACTGCGATTATCGAAATTATCTTATATAATGTTGCAGGAAGAAGCAAACCCTGTAGAATGCTAATTTGATCATCGACACAAAAATTTTTCTTTCAAATAATCTTTCCAAACTGATTAAATGATTTTTAATCGATCTAAACTACATTTCTTGGCCTTTTTAATTGTCCAAAATATATGTGCGAGATTGAAATATTCAACATTTTAGAACATATTTATATCACGAAGAAATTTAGGCGCTTTTAGTATCACTGAAAGAATACTGTCAGTGATACCAAAAAGTAATCAGAAAACTATCAGTTGAACAAAGATGAATTATGAAAGATGTGCTAATTAACTTAATCAGCAGAAGGCTCTGGTAATTAAGTGGAGAGATTTAGCTTTTGCACTTTATTAAGTGAATTCTTCCAGAACATTGTTGAGTTAGTCATATTGTAGATCAATCCTTTTGCAGTTATGTCATAATGTTGTAGATCAATCTTTTTGCAATTATTTCGTAGCCACAATTTTTTCCAAAAAAATATTTGATCTAAAAATGACTGGAAGCAAGAGGAATAGTTAGTAAAAAGCTGTCTTGAAAGTAATTCAATGCCTGTCAATTTATATTATAACTAATGCCACCTAAAAGTTACGTTTTTATATTTGTGATAAATTTATATAATGAAGCTAAAGAGTAGCATGAAATGAAAACTAGCAATCTTTTAATTTATGTAAATTCATTTTATTTGATTGATCTGCAAGATCTTATATTTGAATATTGCGACTATTTGACTATCACTTGTTTCTTTCTTCGTTAAGATATGTAATAAGAAAAAGTAGAATCAACAGCGACGATTTCGTTGTGTTAAATAGTTTTGGAGATTATCTTTTCATTGGAGCCAAAATTTCCATAAAATAATTTCTCGTAAAATATATAGAATTTTTTAAATTTTATTATTACTCAAATTCAACTTTATTGAAATTAAAAGTGTCAGTTGAATTTAAACTGGGAATGAAAGTATTTTTATTGCATAAAAATTATAGAGAAAGATTTTTAAGTTAGGAAAACTGACTAGTTCAAATGCTGAAATTGAAGCAAGCAGCAATCTTACAGATGTGCATTATCAATCATGAATTTCTAAAAATGGCCATCTTCCTTCAGATAGAGGTAATACGAATTTGAAATCATATTCTGGTACTTCATCAGGCTGCTGTATTCCATTAACACTCAACACATCTTTAAGAAAGCATTTTCATATAATAATTGAAAAAATCAGAGTTCAAAAATATTACAACGGTTTTTTTTGTAGAAACAATAAATAAGGCTGATTAAGCAGTGCTAATTAATAATAATAATTCTATTTGAATTTTATCAAAATTGCCTAACACTAAATTGGCAGAGTTATTATGAAGATTATCAATTTTTTTCACATTTATCAATTAAGGAAGAAATCTCTCTAATCTTATTACCAATTGATCGAGCATTCATAATTATACGTTGTTACAAATTGATTATTTTTACAAACGTACAATTTTCACTTATTAATAAATTGAGAAATTTAGGATATCGAAGCGCAGCAATCCTATATAGTTCATGTAAATTATCTTCAGTTACAGCATCCATTTCATCAAAGAAATCTTCTTCAAATGGAAAGTCATATTCACCAACTCGATATTCCTAAAAATTTCATCTATTTCTTTAATCAATAAATAATATATAATAAAAGAAAAAAAATCTAATTATATTTCCTTAAACTTTGTATCAAATGTGAAAAGCATTTGATTTAGTTTTTAGAGTGATGATAATAACAAACTTGCATGATCATGTAGTAATCGAAATGTGAAAGACATCGTTGCCATTTGAAAATTGCTTCCGATACACCTTCCATGAATTTCGTACATGACCAACATTGCGACGTAAGCTGATCAGTTGGATCAAGTGGATAGAGATGTCTAAAAATAACTGATGAATTGATCGACATAGCTGAATAATTTTTAGGAATATATTTCCATGCTACATATAACTTTATGCAACGTAAAAACACAGAATGGCAAAAATGTTTGAAATAAATTTCTTAATATCTAAATCCATTTAAATAAATGAATGATATTTAAAAACAAAAAAGAAGTAAACATCACATACCTTATCTCCTCAAAATTTGTAGCCAAATCTTCCCTCAAATGCTTCAAATTTCCCTTTGTAGAATGATATACTACACGACCTGTCAGAAGTTTTGTTGTATCATCAAAATCAAGCAATAAAATAGCTGCGACATAATATTCATCACCAGCTGCGGGTGATGAATGTACTGTATAGCAAAGACCATTGAATACTTTTACAAAACCACTCTATCAAAGGAAAGAAAAATCAATGACTATTTTTGCTTCATATCATGCAATTACCCTGAGCTGCTTATTAAATTATTTATATTTCAGATCTTCTTCATTAAATATCATATCAATCCATCCATCATTATTAGTAAGAAGCATCTTGGAATTATAATGTATGATTCGTCATCTGATAGATTCGATATTATTGATTTTATTTGCCAGTGCCAATTGTAAAAATTTATTTTAAAGAAATCACAAAAAAATATAAACAGAAGGAATCATTACTTTAAATAGCTAATAATAAATTAATGAAGAGCGTTCCTTCAAATCATTGTTTGCAGCAACTTATGTGATACTGTAATTACCGTATGATTTCCATTAGACTTACTGTATTAGCTTCATGACCACGTATGAGAGCACGACAATTTAATTCTCGCAGTTTCTCTTTCAATGCTCTCCGACTGAAAAAATATGATGCACCACGACCGGAAGGTGAATATTTCGATCTGAATGATTGAAAACTGCTTTGCATAATTATAATATAAGTAATTAAGATAGAGAATATCATGCCAATGTCACATTCCTAAACACAAATCAATCGAAGGCAAAATTGGCGGTGAATATATACATGTGTTAGTTTGTAGAAATAAATTTATCATCAACCTTCGATTATAATTCCAAGCTTTTTCAAACTCATGTTAAACATTTTATCATTTGAATAATTTTACATCGTATCAGACTCCATCTCAACTGAAAATCTCAGGATTCTATATCTTTGGAGAATGAAATGATCGAATACTATTAAGATTTAAACAAAAATATACGTTATTTCTCTAGATGGATCGGCCCATAAAATATCTGTCATTATGCTTATATGTAAAACATTTGTTTCTGGAGCAAGCCATGTTAATGGACGTGGTATTTTTGCGATATCTTCCCGCGATTTTGTAAATTGCGAGATACCGCCATGGCACAATAACACTTGATCTGGAATAAATGCTACAGTTCATTTTCTATTTCAATTTTCGCGTTCTTGAATTAATATTATTTTGTTATGATCTTTTAAGGGACAATATAATTAACATATAAAAATAAATATTAGTCAATATTTCCAATTAATTACTAATAATAGCAAGTATTTATTAGTTGCACTAATAGTCTTACTAACCACTTCTTCCTCAGTGCGGTTTTTGTCGAAATTTTTAATGAAAATTTGAGCAAATGCTTTTCAGTATCTATTAGCCTCTCTAAACTTTCA